GGCTCCGGGGGTGTCCCCGGGCCCGGGGGTGTCCTTGGGGGTCCCGGGGTGTCCCGGGGGGGGTCTGGGTGTCCCCGGGGGTCCCTGGGGGGTCCCTGGGGGTCCCGAGCGCGGCCGCCGCGTCCCCCCCGAGCGCGCCAAAGCCGCGGCGGCCCCGCCCGCGCCGCTTCCCGCCTTTCCGCCGGCCACGCCCCCCGCGCCGCAGCCCGTTGGCTGAGCGCGGCGTGACGTCACGGGCGACGCGGGAGATCCCTTAAAGTGATAGTGACACTACCGGGAACCGGCGGCGGGGACCGGGATTGGGACATTGGGGACAGGGACACGGATTGGGATTGGGATTGGGACACTGGGGACAGGGACAGGGATCGGGGATTGGGATCGGGACACTGGGGAGAGCGATAGAGACTGGGAATTGGACACTGGGGACAGGGACACGGATTGGGATTGGGACACTGGGGACAGGGACATGGATTGGGATTGGGATTGGGACACCGGGGACAGGGACAGGGGACAGGGGATTGGGATCAGGGATTGGGATCGGGACATTGGGGACAGGGACAGGGACAGAGGATTGGAATTGGGACACCGGGGACAGGGACTGGGACTGGGACATTGGGGACAGGGACAGGGGACAGGGGATTGGAATTGGGACACCGGGGACAGGGACTGGGACATTGGGGACAGGGACAGGGGATTGGGATCGGGACATTGGGGACAGCAATAGAGACTGGGAATTGGGACAGGGACATTGGGGACAGGAACTGGGGACTGGAACTGGGACACTGGGGACAGGGACTGGGACCAAAACTGGGGAGTGGGATTAGGATTTTGGGGACAGGGGCCGGGGATTGGGATCAGGGACCAAGATTTGGGATTGAAACAGGGACAAGCACCGAGAATGGGACCGGGGATTGGAACGGGGACAGGAACCGGGACCGGGATCGGGGTTGGGATTGAGATCGGGACCAAGGACTGGGATTGGGATCAGGACTGAGACCGGGACCAGGACTGAGACCGGGATTGGGATCAGGGATTGGAACAGTGACAGGGACCGGAACTGGGACCGGGATTGGGATTGGGATCGGGATCGGGACCAGGACTGAGATCGGGATCCGGGATGAGATGGGGTTGGGATTGGGATTGGGATCGGGATTGGGACCAGGACTGAGATCGGGATCTGGGATGAGGATGGGGCCGGGGTCGGGCCCGGGACCCCGCAGACTCCGCAGGCTCCGCCCGCGATGCTCGGCCGGTGCCGGGACCGGGACCGGGACCGCCCCGCGGGCCGCGGCCGGACCGCAACCGGGCACACGGGGGTCACGGGGAGCAGCCCGGGGGACACACGGGGGTCACGGGGAGCAGCCCGGGGGACACACGGGGGTCACGGGGCTCTCCGGGGGTCACGGGGCTCGCCGCACACGTGGCCCCACGGGCACGGAGGCCACACGCACCGGGACAGCCCCGGGGCACGGAAACGGCCGGAGCTGGAGAGATCGGGGGTCCCCCGTGTCACACACCGGGATCAGGGGTCCCCCATGTCACACACCGGGATCGGGGGTCCCCCCGTGTCATCGGGGTCCCCTCATGTGTCACACACCGGGATCGGGAGTCCCCCGTGTCACACACCGGGATCGGGGGTCCCCCCGTGTCATCGGGGTCCCCTCATGTGTCACACACCGGGATCGGGGTCCCCCCGTGAGTCACCTACAGGAGTCGGAGTCCCCCTGTGTCATCGGGGTCCCCCCCCCCATGTCACCCACCAGGATCGGGGTCCCCCCCCTCAATCGGGGTCCCCCTCGTGTGTCCCACCAGGATCGGGGTCCCCTCATGTGTCACACACCGGGATCGGGGGTCCCTCCGTGTCACACACCGGGATTGGGGTCCCCCTGTGTGGATCCCCCCCAATTTGGGGTCCCACCCCGTGTCACTCACCGGGATCGGGATCCCCCTGCGTGTGCAGAATTGGGGACCACCCCCTTTGTCCATGATCGGGCTCCCCTCGTGTGTCACCTACAGGGGTCGGGGTCCCCCTGTGCCATCGGGGTCCCCCCCCAGGATCGGGGTCCCCCCAGTGTCACCCCCCGGGATTGGGGTCCCCACCACACTCGGTGCCGCACTGGGGGTCCCCCCACTCTCATTCGGGATCCCCTCGAGTTCGGGGACCCCCTTGAGTCCCAAACCGGGGTCTCCCCCTGTGTGCAGAACTGGGGACCCCTCCCCATTTTGCTCCCCCCATGGCTGTCAAGCCCCGACCCCCAAAACCCCAAAAAACCCCAAAAAAACCCAAAAAAATCCCAAAAAATAATCCTAAATCCCATCCCTGGGGTCTCCGCGTGCCGGGATGGGGGGGCGGCCCCCCCCAAACCCCCTCTGCGATCTGGGGGGGGGTCTCCATGTCCCCCCCCCCCCCCAAAACCCCCCCGGGGAGGAGACACTGGGGTCCTGTGGGGGGGACATTGGGGAGCTCACTGAGCGCCGAGAGTTGGGGACATTGGGGACCTGGCAGTGTCCTGGGAGTGGGGGACATTGGGGACCTCACTGACCCCCAAGAACTGGGGACATGGGGGACATTGGGGACCTGTCAGACCCCTGGGAGTGGGGGGCATTGGGGACATTGGGGACCTCACTGACCCCCGAAAATTGGGGACACGGGGGACCTGGCCCTGTCCTGGGAGCGGGGGACATGGGAGACCCAGCAGCCCCCCAAAAATGGGGACATGGGGGACACGTGGGACCCTTCATCCCCCTGAGCGTAAGGGACATGTTGGGGACGTGACATCCCTCGGGAAAGGGGGACACGGGGGACATGACAGCCCCCAAAAATGTGGGACACGGGGGACATGGCAGCCCTCGAGAAGGGGGGACACGGGGGACATGACAGCCCCCAAAAATGGGGGACACGGGGGACTGACACACTCTTGAAAGCGGGGACACGGGGGACATGACAGCCCCCAAAAATGGGGGACACGGGGGACTGACAATAAAAACACCCGCAAACCACCCCAAAAACACCACAAAAACACCCCAAAACAACCCAAAAACATCCTGAAACCACCCCAAACCACCCTGAAACCATCCCAAACCACCCCAAACTACCCTGAAACCACCCCAAACTACCCCGAAACCATCCCAGAATCACCCCAAAACCATCCTGGAACCATCCCAAACAACCCCAAACTACCCTGAAACCATCCCAAAACCATCCCAAACCACGCCAAAACCATCCTGAAACCCCTTAAATCTCCAAAACCACCCCAAACCCACCCAAAAAACCATCCTGAAACCACCCCAAACCACCCTGAAATTACCCCACACAACCCAGAAACAGCCTGAAACCATCCCAAAACCCTTTAAACCCCCAAAATCACCCCAAACCCCCCCAAAACCACCTCAAAACCACCCTGAAACCCCAAAAATCCCTTAAACCTTCAGAACCTCCCCAAAACCACCCTGAAACCCCTTGGACCGCCCCTGGTGTCCCCTCACCCCTGGTGTCCCCATGGAGTCCCCAGTGTCCCCATGGTGTCCCCAGTGTCCCTGTCACCCTCACCCCTAGTGTCCCTGGTGTCCCCACTGTCCCCTAACCCTGTGTGTCCCCACGGTGTCCCCAGTGTCCCCCCCACCCCTGTCTCCCTACGGTGTCCCCTCACCCTGTGGTGTCCCCAGTATCCCCGGTGTCCCCTCACCTGCGTGTCCCCCTGGTGTCCCCTGACCCCTGGTGTCCCCAGTGTCCCCGGTGTCCCCTCACCCCAGCTGTCCCCGCAGTGTCCCCTCATCCCATGTGTCCCTGGTGTCCCCAGCATTCCCTCACCCCGTGTGTCCCCGGTGTCCCTTCACCCCCGGTGTCCCCGGTGTCCCCGGTGTCCCTTCACCCCCGGTGTCCCCGGTGTCCCCGGTGTCCCTTCACCCCCGGTGTCCCTGGTGTCCCTTCACCCCCGGTGTCCCTGGTGTCCCTTCACCCCCGGTGTCCCTGGTGTCCCTTCACCCCCGGTGTCCCTGGTGTCCCTTCACCCCCGGTGTCCCCGGTGTCCCCTGACCGGCGGTGTCCCCTCAGGCACGCGGGTGGCACGCGGGGACCCGGTGTTCCCGGAGCAGCCGGACGCCAGCGGGACCTTCCCGGACGGGCAGCCCCTGCCCAGGGACAGGCGCGGCAAGTTCGTCTACGTCTGGTGGACATGGGGTGAGCTGGCACTGCTGTCCCCGGGGTGGCACGGACCCTGCCGTGGTGGCACCCACCTCCTGTGGTGGCACTGACACTGCTGTGGTGGCACTGAGCCTGCCGTGGTGGCACCCACCTCCTATGGTGGCACTGAGCCTGCCATGGTGGCACTGAGCCTGCCATGGTGGCACTGAGCCTGCCATGGTGGCACTGAGCCCACTGTGGTGGCACTGAGCCTGCCATGGTGGCACTGAGCCCACTGTGGTGGCACTGAGCCTGCCATGGTGGCACTGAGCCCACTGTGGTGGCACTGAGCCTGCCATGGTGGCACTGAGCCCACTGTGGTGGCACTGAGCCTGCCATGGTGGCACTGAGCCCACTGTGGTGGCACTGAGCCTGCCATGGTGGCACTGACCCCACCGTGGTGGCACTGAGCCCACCATGGTGGCACTGAGCCCACTGTGGTGGCACTGACCCCACCATGGTGGCACTGAGCCCACTGTGGTACGGGCACCCAGCGCGCGCTGCCCGACGGCCGCGTGGTGTGGGGGCAGGACTGCACCGTCAACGGTCAGCGCCCCAAACACCCCGAAAACACCCTGAAACACCCCCAAACACCCCGAAACACCCCGAAACACCCCGAAAACACCCCAAAAACACCCCGGAAACACCCCGGAAACACCCCAAACCCCCCCAAACCACCCCAAAAACACCCCGGAAACACCCCGGAAACACCCCAAAAACACCCCGAAACACCCCAAACCACCCCAAAAACACCCCGGAAACACCCCAAAACCACCCCGAAAACACCCCGAAAACACCCCGAAAACACCCCAAAAACACCCCGGAAACACCCCAAAAACACCCCGGAAACACCCCAAAAACACCCAGAAAACACCCTGAAACACGGTGACCCCTGCCCCTCCCCCAGGACTGGCTGGTCTGGACCGACCCCCCCCGGGGGTCCCTGGTGGTCGCGGGGCTCGGGGGGGGCTCCGGCCGCCCCTCCCCCCCCCAGGTGGTGGCTCAGGAGCTCTTCAGCCCCGAGGCCGTGCTGCTGCTGCACCCCGACAGGCAGCCCCGAGGTACCCCAAAAACACCCCAAAACCACCCCAAAAACACCCCGAAAACACCCCAAAAACACCCCGAAAACACCCCGAAAACACCCCGGAAACACCCCAAAAACACCACGAAAACACCCCGAAACAACCCAAAAACATCCTGAAACCACCCCAAACCACCCTGAAACCATCCCAAAACCATCCCAAACCACGCCAAAACCATCCTGAAACCCCTTAAATCTCCAAAACCACCCCAAACCCACCCAAAAAACCATCCTGAAACCACCCCAAACCACCCTGAAATTACCCCACACAACCCAGAAACAGCCTGAAACCATCCCAAAACCCTTTAAACCCCCAAAATCACCCCAAAACCATCCCAAACCACCCAAAACCACCCTGCAACCACCCAAAACCCCCCAAAACCACCTCAAAACCACCCTGAAACCCCAAAAATCCCTTAAACCTTCAGAACCACCCCAAAACCACCCTGAAACCCCTTGGACCGCCCCTGGTGTCCCCTCACCCCTGGTGTCCCCATGGAGTCCCCAGTGTCCCCATGGTGTCCCCAGTGTCCCTGTCACCCTCACCCCTAGTGTCCCTGGTGTCCCCACTGTCCCCTAACCCTGTGTGTCCCCACGGTGTCCCCAGTGTCCCCCCCACCCCTGTCTCCCTACGGTGTCCCCTCACCCTGTGGTGTCCCCAGTATCCCCGGTGTCCCCTCACCTGCGTGTCCCCCTGGTGTCCCCTGACCCCTGGTGTCCCCAGTGTCCCCGGTGTCCCCTCACCCCAGCTGTCCCCACAGTGTCCCCTCATCCCATGTGTCCCTGGTGTCCCCAGCATTCCCTTACCCCGTGTGTCCCCGGTGTCCCCGGTGTCCCTTCACCCCCGGTGTCCCCGGTGTCCCCGGTGTCCCTTCACCCCCGGTGTCCCCGGTGTCCCCTGACCGGCGCTGTCCCCTCAGGCACGCGGGTGGCACGCGGGGACCCGGTGTTCCCGGAGCAGCCGGACGCCAGCGGGACCTTCCCGGACGGGCAGCCCCTGCCCAGGGACAGGCGCGGCAAGTTCGTCTACGTCTGGTGGACATGGGGTGAGCTGGCACTGCTGTCCCCGGGGTGGCACGGACCCTGCCGTGGTGGCACCCACCTCCTGTGGTGGCACTGACACTGCTGTGGTGGCACCCACCTCCTATGGTGGCACTGAGCCTGCCATGGTGGCACTGAGCCCACTGTGGTGGCACTGAGCCTGCCATGGTGGCACTGAGCCCACTGTGGTGGCACTGAGCCTGCCATGGTGGCACTGAGCCCACTGTGGTGGCACTGAGCCTGCCATGGTGGCACTGAGCCCACTGTGGTGGCACTGAGCCTGCCATGGTGGCACTGAGCCCACTGTGGTGGCACTGAGCCTGCCATGGTGGCACTGAGCCCACTGTGGTGGCACTGAGCCTGCCATGGTGGCACTGAGCCCACTGTGGTGGCACTGAGCCTGCCATGGTGGCACTGAGCCCACTGTGGTGGCACTGAGCCTGCCATGGTGGCACTGACCCCACCGTGGTGGCACTGAGCCCACCATGGTGGCACTGAGCCCACTGTGGTGGCACTGACCCCACCATGGTGGCACTGAGCCCACTGTGGTATGTCCCTGTCACCCTCACCCCTAGTGTCCCTGGTGTCCCCACTGTCCCCTAACCCTGTGTGTCCCCACGGTGTCCCCAGTGTCCCCCCCACCCCTGTCTCCCTACGGTGTCCCCTCACCCTGTGGTGTCCCCAGTATCCCCGGTGTCCCCTCACCTGCGTGTCCCCCTGGTGTCCCCTGACCCCTGGTGTCCCCAGTGTCCCCGGTGTCCCCTCACCCCAGCTGTCCCCTCAGTGTCCCTGGTGTCCCCTGACCCCAGCTGTCCCCTCAGTGTCCCTGGTGTCCCCTCACCCCAGCTGTCCCCACAGTGTCCCCTCATCCCATGTGTCCCTGGTGTCCCCAGCATTCCCTTACCCCGTGTGTCCCCGGTGTCCCCGGTGTCCCTTCACCCCCGGTGTCCCCGGTGTCCCCGGTGTCCCTTCACCCCCGGTGTCCCCGGTGTCCCCTGACCGGCGCTGTCCCCTCAGGCACGCGGGTGGCACGCGGGGACCCGGTGTTCCCGGAGCAGCCGGACGCCAGCGGGACCTTCCCGGACGGGCAGCCCCTGCCCAGGGACAGGCGCGGCAAGTTCGTCTACGTCTGGTGGACATGGGGTGAGCTGGCACCGCTGTCCCCGGGGTGGCACGGACCCTGCCGTGGTGGCACCCACCTCCTGTGGTGGCACTGACACTGCTGTGGTGGCACTGAGCCTGCCGTGGTGGCACCCACCTCCTATGGTGGTGGGTGTGAGTGACACTGGGTATGGGTGACACCAGGTGTGGGTGACACTGGGTGTGGGTGACACTGTGTGCAGGTGACATTGGGTGCGGGTGACGCTGGGTTTCAGGACTGTGACACTGCATTTTGGGGACAGTAGGTGACACTGTGTGCAGGTGACACCGAGTACAGGTGACTCCTGATTTAGGTGACACTGTGTGTTGGCATTGCAGGTGACAGTGGATTTTGGGGGCAGTAAGTGGCACTGGGTGCTGGAGGTGACACTGGGTGCAGGTGACACTGGCTGTAGATGACACTGGCTGTAGGTGACACCGGGCGCAGGTGACAGTGCAGGTGACACTGTTTGTAAGTGACACTGGCTGTAAGTGACACTGGCTGTAGGTGACGGTGCAGGTGACACCGGGTGCAGGTGACACTGGCTGCAGTGACACCGGGCGCAGGTGACACTGGCTGTAGGTGACACCAGGTGCAGGTGACACTGGCTGTGACACTGGCTGTAAGTGACACTGACTGTAGGTGATGGTGCAGGTGACACCGGGCGCAGGTGACACTGGCTGCAGGTGACACCAGGTGCAGGTGACACTGGCTGTAAGTGACACTGGCTGTAGGTGACAGTGCAGGTGACACTGGCTATAGGTGACACTGGCTGCAGGTGACACCGGGCGCAGGTGACACCACGCACCACCACTTCATCTACCACCCCGCCCTCTGCCTGTCCCCCGCTGTCCCCGCTGTCCCCGCAGACCAAGTCCCGCTCACCGTGGACGTGTCGCAGCTGCAGGACGCGGTGACGAGCGACGGCCGCTTCGTGCGGAACCGCGCCGTGGCCTTCGCCGTGCGCCTGCACGACCCCAGCCGCTACCTGCGCCACGCCGACGTGTCCTACTCGTGGGACTTCGGCGACCAGAGCGGCACGCTGATCTCGCGCAGCGCCACCGTCACCCACACCTACCGCGACACCGGCACCTTCTCGGCCCGCCTGGTGCTCCAGGCCGCCATCCCGCTCAGCCCCTGCGGGCCCAGCACCGCGCCGGCCACCGCGCCCGCGGCCACCACGGCCACCGAGCCCGCGGCCACCACCCCGCCCGTGGGACAGAGCACGGCGGCGGCCAGCACCGGTAAGGGGAGGGGGTGTCGTGGTGGGGGTGGTCGCGGTGTTTGTGGTGTTGGATGGGGTGTGTGGGACAGCCCGGTGGCCCCCCGGCCTGTAATTTGTGTCCCCAGCAGACTGAGTGTCCCCCGTGTCCCCCCCACCCCACAGAGCCACCAGATCCCCCCAGTGTCACCTAAGGGGACACGGAGCACCCCCAACACCGCAGCTGGGGGTGTCCCCTGTGACCCCAACCCAGACTGGAGGCGTCCCCGGGTGACCCCAGCCCGGTCTCTGGGGGTGTCCCGGGTGACCCCAGCCCGGTCTCCGGGGCTCCCGGTGACCCCAGCCCCGCTGTCCCCGCAGCCCCCGCAGCCTCCGGGGAGCCGGCGGAGCCCACGGGGGGCTCGGCGGCGGAACCCTCGGACCCCGCTGTCACCGAGCCCTCTGTCCCCGTTGTCACCGAGCCCTCTGTCCCCGTTGTCACCGAGCCCTCTGTCCCCTCCGCCACCGATCCCGCTGGCACCGCCGCTGTCGTCGAGCCCTCTGTCGCCGCTGTCACCGAGCTCTCTGTCCCCTCCGCCACCGCCGCCGCTGCGGCTGCCAGCACCGCGGCTGTCGCCTCCTCCGTGTCCCCCGCTGTCGCCACCGCGGCTGGGGACACCTCTGTCCCCGCGGTGCCCCTGGAAGGGACAGCGGCTGCAGGTGGGTGCTGGCACGGGGTGGCGGTGGCGGCGGGGAGGGGACACGTCGGGGCTGTCCCCAAGGGCTCGCTGTCCCCTTGTCCTCGCCCAGCGTTTCCCGTGTGTCCCTGCAGACGCGGCGACAGACGGAGGCGCGGGTGATGTCACAGCTGCGGCCACCGCTGGATCGGCCACCGCTGGATCGGCCACAGATGGATCTGCCACAGCTGGATCTGCCACAGCTGGATCGGCCACCGCTGGATCGGCTACAGCTGGATCTGCCCTCGATGCCACCGCCGCAGCCACGCTCGGTGTCACGGCGGACGCCACCACAGGAGCCACCGTGGGAGCCACTGCCGCGTCCCTGGCCGCTGCCACAGCTGCGGCCACATCTGGCGCCACATCCGGCGCCACAGCTGGCAGCACAGCTGGCAGCACAGCTGGCAGCACGGCCCAGCCGCTGGCACTGGTCAAGCGCCAGGCCCCGGCCGAGGACTCGCCCGGCTGCGTCCTGTTCCGCTACGGCACCTTCGCCACCCAGCTGGACATCGTCCGTGAGTCCGGGGGTCCCGGGGGGGTCCCGGGGGGGTCCCGAGGGTCCAGCCGGGGCTGCCCGACCCCGCTGACCCCCCCTGGCTCCCCGCAGAGGGCATCGAGAGCGTGGCCATCGTGCAGGTGGTGCCCGAGGGCGGCGGCAGCAGCGTGGAGCTGACGGTGACGTGCGAGGGCGGGTGAGTGGCGACAGCGGCGACAGCGGCGACAGCGGCGACACCGCCGGGGACGGCAGCGCGGGGTCCCCGGCGCTGACGGGCCGTGCCCGCAGGGTGCCCGAGGAGGTGTGCACGGTGGTGGCGGACGCCGAGTGTCGCACGGCGGAGGCGGAGTCGTGCTCGGCGGTGTCGCCGTCGCCCGGCTGCGAGCTCGTGCTGCGCCAGGACTTCAACCGCTCCGGCCTCTTCTGCCTCAACGTGTCCCTGGCCAACGGCAACGGGGTGGCCGGGGAGGTGCGACACGGGGACAGGGTCCCTGAGGTCCCCTGGGTGTCCCCTGGGTGGGGCTGGGCGGTTCCTGCCCCGGGGAGGTGACAGGGACACGGGGATAGGGTCCCGGGGATGTCTTCAATGTCCCCTGGGTGGGGCTGGGTGGTTCCTGCTCTGAGGAGGTGACAGTGACACGGGGACAGGGTCCCGGGGATGTCCTCAATGTCCCCTGGGCGGGGCTGGGCGGTTCCTGCTCCCGGAGGTGACAGTGACACGGGGACAGGGACTGGAGGGTCCCCTGGGTGGGGCTGGGCGGTTCCTGCTCCCGGAGGTGACAGTGACACGGGGACAGGGACTGGGGATGTCCTCAATGTCCCCTGGGTGGGGCTGGACGGTTCCTGCCCCAGAGGAGGTGGCACCTGGCTGTGGCCACCACCCGCGTGGCCGTGGGAGGTGCGACACGGGGACAGGGTCCCGGGGATGTCCTCAGTGTCCCCTGGGTGGGATTGAGCTGTCCCTGGCCAACGGCAACGGGCTGGCCGTGGCCACCACCCGGCTGGCCGTGGGAGGTGCGACACGGGGACAGGGTCCTGAGGGTCCCCTGGGTGGGGCTGGGCTGTCCCCATCCTCGGAGGAGGTGGCACATGGTCCTGGGGATGTCCCCTGGGTGGGGCTGGACGGTTCCTGCCCCAGAGGAGGTGGCACCTGGCTGTGGCCAGCACCCGGGTGGCCGTGGGAGGTGCGACACGGGGACAGGGTCCCAGGGATGTCCTCAATGTCCCCTGGGTGGGGCTGGGCGGTTCCTGCTCTGGGGAGGTGACAGGGACAGGGACTGGGGATGTCCCCTGGGTGGGGCTGGGCGGTTCCTGCTCTGAGGAGGTGACAGGGACACGGGGACAGGGTCCGGGGATGTCCCCAAGGTCCCCCTGGTGGCACTGCCCAAGGTCCCCCTGGTGGTACTGAGCTGTCCCTGCCCTGCCGGAGGTGACAGGGACAGGTCCCGGGGATGTCCCCAGTGTCCCCTGGTGGCACTGAGCTGTCGCTGTCCCCAGGAGCCGCCCCGGCCACCGGGCGCACCACGCTGTTCGTGGGACTCGTGCTGGTGGCGGCCGCCCTGGGCACGGCCGCGTACACCTACAGGTGACAGTGGGGACACCGGGGGCATTGGGGACACGGGGGGCATTGGGGACAGTGGGGACAGTGGGGACAGTGGGGACATTTGGGACAGTGGGGACACTGGGGACAGGGGGGACACTGGGGGCATTGGGGACAGTACACGGGGGGCAGGGGGGACAGTGGGGACATTGCAGACACTGGGGGCATCGGGGACACAGGGGACATCAGGGACATTCTCTGTGGGGTGTGTGACACCGTGGGGTTGGGGACACTGTGGGTTTGGGGACATCAGGGACACCTCAAGGGGTGCAGGTGACACCGTGGGGATGGGGACACTCCTGTGGGGCTGGGGACACTCTATGGGGTGGAGGTGACACCGTGGGGTTGGGGACACTCTATGGGGTGGAGGTGACACCGTGGGGAGGAGGTGACACCGTGGGGTTGGAGACACTGGGGACACCCCCCAGCCAGGAGGTGACACCGTGTCCCCCCCGGGTCTGGGGGTGTCCTGAGTGGATTTTGGGGGATCCCGGAGGGCCCCCTCCCCCAGGGCCCCTCTGTGCAGAGAGCCCCGCCCCAAATCAGCGACCACGCCCCCTAATTTACATATTAATTAAAGATCTCTTCCACCAAATCTTCCAATCTCCATATTTATTAAAGACCACGCCCCTTTCTGGGGCCACGCCCCCTATTTTACATATTAATTACAGTTAATTTCAGCATTTTGGCCGCTCCCCTCAATTTCCACAGCAGTGGCCACGCCCCTTAATTTCCATATTAAGTAAATATAATCTCTGCCATTTGACCACGCCCACTAGTCTGGATATCATCAAGTGACCACGCCCTCTAGTTTGCATATTAATTAATGGTCATCTCCTCATTTTGGCCATGCCCTCTAATTTCCATATCCACCAAGGGCCACGCCCCCTCAGCAATCACACACGTTACATTCTAATGAATGACCACGCCCATTAATTTGCATATTATTTAGCTATAGTATGCAGACACGCCCACTGATTTGCATACAAATAAATTACTAAGCCCTTTAATTACCCTATGAATTAAGCCCATTTCCGGTGTTAGCCCCGCCCTCTAATTTCCATACCCACCAATGGTCACGCCCCCTCAACGACTATTGGCCAAATTTCCTATTTAAATACTCGACCACGCCCCCTAATTTCAATGTAGTGTCCACATCACCTATGACCACGCCCACTTATTTGCATATAAATGGTTGACCACGTAGCGTAATTACCATATAAAGATCCCTTTCACTGTTAGCCCCGCCCCTAATTTCCATATGTGATATGTGGTCACGCCCCCTTTTGGCCACGCCCCCGATGCCCGCGCGCGCCGCCGCCTTTGCGTCACTTCCGGGGCGGCCCCGCGGCGCGCGCGCAAAGATGGCGACGCCCTATGTGACGGACGAGACCGGTGAGCGCGGGGGGGCCCCGCGGGCTGGGGGGGCTCCCGGACCCCCCCGGGGCTGCCCCGGGACCCCCGGGACCCCCCCCAAACCCGCGCGGGGCTCCCGGGGGCTGACGGACGAGACCGGTGAGCGCGGGGGGGCCCCGCGGGCTGGGGGGGCTCCCGGACCCCCCCGGGGCTGCCCCGGGACCCCCGGGACCCCCCCCAAACCCGCGCGGGGCTCCCGGGGGC